TATAGCTAAAACTAAGGGATTTTATTGGTTCTAAACAGTTGCTTCTTTTGCAAACATAAACAATACATGGACAGACAATGCCAGGGGACAGACAGAAATCATAAATTAGTTAAATTATACAAGGTATAAAAACTACTTATAAAACTGCTCTACTTTTTTGATTGCTTTATTTTTACAGTATGGGAGTAATTTATTCCATTGTTTGAAAATTTTCATTTATGTATGTGGAATTCTGAAAGCAGAAGGATCAAATTGATGATATAATACTGATTTCTTTTGGTAGAGGGGTAAAAAAAAAAAAAAACCCAAACAATACATTCTCATATAAAAGGAAAAAACAAAAAAAGCACAAAAGTTTTTTTTCCAAAAGAACAAAAATGGAGACCAAAAACAAATGACAAAAGTCTTCTGGAGCCAATTGACAAAATTAGCATGTTACATCAATGTCCTTTTAATATCTTAGCAAAAATAATTTGGAGAGATAAAAGCGATGAATTAGTTTAAAATACACTTATTGGGCCTTAATTAAAATAAAATATTTAGAAGGTAGACAACATATTTTCCTCGAGTCCAGGTCTGGATAGAGGTTATTCCAGTAAGAAGTGGCATTTGGAACAGAGACTTATTTTTGAAATAAAGCATGTTTTTCACAGTTATTATTCTTTTTTATAGAAGAAACAGATTTGACCAACAACAGTAACAACAGGATCCAGGTAGTATAGTCAGTTCAGATATAACTGAGTTTCTAAGAAGCATTACGACACCAGAAGGAAAAAACTAAAGCGTATTCCTTTGGTGGTATGGGAATACCATAATTGTCTAAAAACTCAAAGTATGACATTAACATACCACTAGAATTTATGAGTTGACCAGATAAATTCCATGGCCAAACCAGTTTTCCAAGAATAATGATTTGTGTTTATATAATATGTTTCTGTTGTTCCAGATGTAATATCTGCAAGGAGAAAAAATTACTTCTAAATTATGGCATTTGTTTTTGAAAGTCTGACGATTATAAGGAGATTTTATCAACTTTGTAGCGGCAAAGTAAAATAAATTAAGTTGTATCGTCAGCCAGCTGACAAATAAAGATCTCATCTTCAGCTATTGTGATACCTTCCAAGGGACTGAGGTTAATTTAATTTAGAAAGTAATTGTGCACTGTGGTGGCAATTTGTTTAAT